AGTGGTTTACTTGCGGTGATATAATTCTAGGTACAGATGAAAAGTACAATATATTTTGAATGTGAAAAGGCATATAATATATTGCCCACAGCCAGAAAAGTTGAGAGTCGACTTCAGATGTTGCTGTACTATACCAAATTTTCCCTCTTTCATAGTCCAGCAAGTTCTGCCAGTGCTCAGGGTCGTATTTCAGATGGATCATATTCCTGCTAATGTTTCTGCCAAAACTTTCTTCCCCTTCTTAGATCTGACATAGATTTGGCTGACTTTCATTTTATTTAAATGAAAACAGCACTGAAAGTGTGCACATTTTTATACTAACAATAATGAGACACATAAATATCAGAGCAAGTGCTGCTCATATTTATACCTATCTAACCATGATAAAGTAGTGGTGTAATGTGTATAAATTAGGTTATAATATATTAGGTTATAAATGTGTATAAACTAGGTTAGGACTCAGACTTTAAGACCTCCTCAAGTTGTTGTCTACTACAGGTCAGATCATTTGCAATCTTACTGAAGCCTTGAGGACTGAACAGAGCACATATAGTTCAGCAGATAAGTTTTCCCATAGTAATTCTTTGAAAAGGTATTTTCTAAGAAAATGTTTAGTTTATATCATTCTGTTATGTAATACTTTTCTGTGCAACAGTCAATTGATTTTGCTGCTGATAGTTAATAAATCACATCACAATTCAAATAAAAACTTGTTAAGACTTGATCAAACTTGCAAGGACAGAGGATGTAGGAGATAACTGTACTAATGCCAATTCTCTTCAAAATTCCATTTAATAATTGAGTTTTTATAAGATGTGAAATGGGCTAGAGTAGAACAAAACTGATAGATGAAAATTTCACTATATGAAAATTTCAACCTATGAAAGTGCTTTAAAATCTCAGCATTTTATAGTATAGTGATCATTCCTAAAAAAATTCTTTCCCATCATGTTCACAAACTCCAAAAAAACTCTGTCATATAAAAAAGAGCAAAACTAAGAGGTTGTCTCTAAGAGGAAGTTGTAGAGATTGAGAGTGGTCCCTAACAACTAGAGAAAGGCAAGTGTTGTATTCCAAAAGGACAATCAAGGAAACTACAGGCCTCTCAACCTTACTATTGTTGCTGAGAAAATCATGGAGCAAGTCTTGGATCACATTTCTGGGCACATAAGGACAAGAAGATGATTGGGAACAGCCAACATAGTTTTGCCAAGAGTAAAGCTTCAGTGAAACAGCCCTGGGTTTTAGTCAGAAGAAATTAAAATTAGAACCTATTATTAAGTTTGTTTAGTCACATTTTGAACTCAGAGTGTTCAGGTAATGAAGAACACTGAATATAGTTTGGAACTGGAGACAAATGTATGGATAAAATATAGTCACAATTAAAAAAACAACAACACTGGTAGATGATTAACTTTACATAGTTTTCCATTGTATTATTTTGATATCTCACCCATGTGATAATTATGGTGTTGTATATTAAGTCTAAGATGTCAGAAAGATAAAATCCTCATAAAGTCAGGAAAAAAAAAGTGGAAAAAATCGTTGATCCCTTTCCTGTGAAAGGAAGTTAAAGGTCTTGGACAAGATATACACAAACTATCATACTCTCCCAACACTGATCCAAGTTAGTGCTTCTCAGATTCCTGGTCATGACCCCTCTGAGTATCTCAAGAATCAAGCAGGAATCAGAGAGCCGCTGCTGTTTAATCCACCACTGTTCAGATTGAATGGCAACAGTTGTAATTAGTGGTGCTGAATGTACTAAGCAGTAGGTTGCTATCTGTCTTTAGCTGATAGCAACAATTCAGTTTCTCCAGAGTAGAGATGTTAACAAGCTGTTGTTAGTGGCCAAATTCGCAAATATTAACTACCCTATTCTGGAAGAACCTAGCTACTGTGAGCAACTTAAAATAGTTAGCACCTTGACTAGCTTTAAATTACTAATGACAGACACTTCTTCCTGTGAAGATACTGAGTTTCTGTCACCTTAGGCAGCAACAGAGATTTATTTTTTTCTGAGGAGTGTGTAAATATGAATGCAGGCCATTTGCTAAGAGCCAGTCGGAGCTAATTTGTTTCTGAGGAATAATACTGGGGCTTAAATGTGTAGTTTGCTCAAGAAAAATGGGTGAAACTGGTCTACGTGTCCAGAAAAATGAGTCAACAGTAGTTTGGTGTATGTGCTTACTGGGAAACTTAAATGAAAGTAGCAAAATGCTACCACATTTGTTACTTTCCATCTCTACTTTCCCTGATGAATTTTTCTCGAAATGGTATTGAACTCAAAGGGGACTCTGGTGTCCATTAGCTCCCTTAACTGCTTTTGAAAATCCTGTACTGTGTGTATTTATTATACTAAATAGAGTCTTTATATATAAAGTCCGGTTCTTAATTTAAGCAAACTGCAGCTATGAATAAACTCTATTTTAGTTAGGAAAATATGTACTGGTTTGCTTCCATCAATATAGTTACTTAGCTTGAAACTGTATTGTGATTTTGCAGTATCATTGCCTCAACTTGAAATAAGAGTTTTGGCAGGAAATAAAAATGAATGTGCTTAAGTGAGACTTAATTTTCACTTTAGTCTTTAGTTCAACAGCAATTCAATGACTCTGATTTTATATGATTCCAGAATTGTTAAAAAAACTTAATATTATTTTCAAAGAATCAAAGTTAAGAATCAAAAAGCTAAGATTTAGTCTATCCGTTTTATTTTGTTTGAATATCTTTGCTGTCTGTATTTTCCCACTGGTACCATATACTGGGTAAACAAAATAAAATTATTAAAATTTATTAGAAACATGTTCTTGGAGCATAATTCCTTTTCAAAATCTCTCTTGAAGTCCAAGCAATTTTGGCAGAAAAACAGGGTGTAATACTAAAGATGGAATGTTCTGCTACTTCACCCTGCCCTTTTCCAGCATTGATCATTAGCTGACCATACCTTAAAATAGTGAACTTTGTAGATCATTTGGAAATGTCCAAATCAAAATAATTCCCTAAAATTGGTTTCCTGACATGTAATTGTATTTTAGCACACATGTATCTTCTCATCTTCACACATTTATAACATTCCCGCATCATTTTTTCCTACGTATTTGGAAAAATTTGAGCTTTGTAGGTTTTCAGTATGTTTACAGATCTAAGATTTGTGCTTTTCCTACACAGGGGTTTCATGAAGAATTAGCTCTTTTTTTTTTTTTTGAATCAAAGCAAAGCAATTACTACTTTGACTAAATGTTCTTTGTTCTGTGAAAAAAAAAGTGTGAATTTTAATGGGTTTCTCCAGATAGTGAGAAAAGTATTGAGGAGCAGATTCTCTACTGATTTTGTGGGAGGACTGCTCATTTATATTAGTCAAAGAATTCATCCTAATGATGCTGAGAGGTCTAAAGCACCCTTACATTACTGCAATATGTATAAGCAATAGTTGTAGCTGTCTAGTCCCTGGCCTGGGCTTGGTAGAAAGGGGCACTGTGCATGGGTAGCTATCAAACAAGAGTGAATACGTTCCATTTTCTGGTATCTGCCAACTCCAGGCACCTCTAGCTTCCTGTCAAATCCACACCTGTATTTGTCATAACTAATGAAATAAGCTTTCGCAAAGTGCTAGAAATTCAACATAATTGCAACTTTTGGGTTATTCTCTGTATAAAGGTGAAAATCATAAAATCAGGTTTCAGTAGCCTTAAAGGACATGGCTGTGACATGTTTTCCTTGAGCCAATTTGATTAACTTAACAACTGCTCTGTTAGTGAGTCTCCTCCAGGTCTCCTCAGGGCTCTAAGAGCTAAATTTTGACCAGTTATTGGAGAATGTGAAAGTGGAGATGGAGGTGGAAACATGTAGGTATGAAGCCAATTGAGCAGTAAAAAAGAAGAAAAATGCATGTTAAGTCAAGCATCATGAACATAAGTCCCAGGAGACATATGTTAGGTAGCAAATCTTAGGGGAGACATTTTACATAAACTGTTCAAGATTAGCTGGTTACACAGGAACCAGGATGAACTGCCTCCTTTTACTGGGTAATCATCGGCACATAGTCTTTTATTTCAAAGGCCCCACAACCTCTTCTTGTTCTTCCATTCTCCTTCCCCCAACACTGGTTCTCAACCCTACAGACTCCCCTGAGACTGCTGCTTCATTGGATTTTCCCCCTGCATTCCTACTTGTATCTCCATTCCTGGATCCAAAGAGTCAGGAGAGTGAGGTGGAGGGATATTCCAAGCTTCTTCAAGCAGCCGCTTTCCCACTTCATTGTATCTGTCTGATTCCCTGCTCAGTAAGTTGCTTCCCTACATCAGGTGTGAGCCAGGATGCAGGGCTCAAATGGACATGCCAGACAGAGCCAACAGGCACAGTTAACTTGGATACAGGGACATCCCTAAATGGATGCACTTTGATGGCTAGAAACAGCTGGTCTTGAGGGACCTTAACACAGACTTAGGCCTTCTTTAATTTAATGCCTATTAGTGTACGTGAAGGAAATGTGAATGGAAGTTGCTGCTCCCTTTATCTGATCACACATGTATCAGAATTTCTAACTGAATATCTGTGGAAGAGCAAGCTGACTACTCTCTTGGCTACCCTCTTGGGTAAGTATACTAGCTCATTCGCTGGACAGTAAGAGGCTAGATTAAGACATATGATGTGGGCTAATTTATTTGTGCTAGAGCTGTGGTTGCAGATGTATTTACTGAAATAAACCATGGAGTCTGTGGGACTGATAATTAAAATCCCTGTGAATTTTCTAGAAGCTTAATTCATATATTTTTCAGCTATATTTATGATCAGCAGTATCCTTGAATAATGTATGGTGGTATAATTGGGAGCAAGAAAGTGAAATTATGGAGGGTATCAAAAAACTATGCTGGATCATAGGAAAGATAAATCGAAAATTAAAAATATGGAGAAAGTGATACCTTTCTCGCCTTCTGTATTTATTTCTGTATTATTTATTGTCTTCTGTAGGCTTCTGGGCCCATGAAATAGGCAAGATGATTGGTCTGCAGCACCCTCTCATACCAGTTCATCACCAGTATGATGTAACATCAAGTATCCCTGAGTTGAAAGCCCTGAAAAGAGAACTGCCTGTGATTCGTAACTTAGAAGGATTGTATTATCTAAGGCAAGAAAGGGATGGACTTTTATTTGGTCCATATGAAAGCCAGGAGAAGATGAAACTACAGGACTCATGGGTAACACATGGAGTCCCACCTGGTAATTAAAACTTTTTTCCTTTAAACTAATAAGCACTAGCATGCCATTTAATATGTATAAATCCCATCCTGTCACACTGCCTGACTTGATGAAACATGGAAATAACTTGCAATGTGCAATTGCAGTTCAGGAACTATTTTTTTCAAAGAATGGTTATAGCCTCTAGTTAGGAGTAAATAGAAATAACACAGCAACCTAAAAAGACTGTTTGAAATAGGCACAAATATATGTCTAAAACATGGTCTAGCCCTACTCTCTGAACAGGTGATCGGGGTGTTGTGATTAGATCCAGTCTAAATCTAAGAATTGTAGGGTTTTTCATCTGAGTAGTGATTGTTCAAAGCTATAGCTCTCTCCAGTATGCTGGCAGGGGCTTTGGATTTTTGACTGCTCTCCAGAGGTAAGTGTAGTGAAACAGAAATACAGGTGCAGTAAAGCAATGTCTTAGACAAAGTGCTGTGATCAAAAATAACTGCAGAGTTGTAGGTTAGTAAATTCTTTTTTTCAGAAAAACAAAACAAAATCAACTACCCGAAGCATCATATTGCTACTTATAAAAATGTACTGTGTTATATCTAGACCCAGCTCTCTATTCACTTCTGGGCAGAATCACTGGTCATGCTGATTAAAAAATAAGTGTTTCCTAACATAGAACAACCAGCCTTGCTGGGCACTGAATTGCTCCGTCATAGCTTCCTCCAGTTAGTGTCTCCACTAGTTTCAAGTCTACTCGCTGCTGCAAAGTGAGGTTCAGTAATGCTCAGAGCCCAGACTAAAGGTTGAAATATATCCAGGAATTCCCTATACACCGAGGAAATCATAAGCTGACCCAGGCAATATCTTTCCTTCCCTCCCCAGATTGTTGCCATCTTGATAAAAGTATGTAGTTTTTGTTAACATGAAAGGAAATTTCTGTGTTTCACCATCTCCTTCCTACTTCAGTATTGAATCTGTGTGACCTTAGGGTTAAACAAATATGTATGAAAGACAGTGTAAATACAGTGACAATAAACTTGATCCTGCAGGTAACTTGTGGTTTATGCACACCATTTTTCTCACTTAGGATGAGAAAGGCTTGAATGTGTACCGTCAATTCCATATAACAATGATACATACAGATTGCATAACTGTATTGAAAGTGTATTTTCAGTGCAATTAACAAATATATAATATGAGTCAAATATTTGTGCAGGTTTTGGAAAAGAACTTTTTGAGTCTGATTTAAACAGAATAATGGAACATATTGAGGCAGCTATGGAAATGGTACCTGTTCTGAAACACACAAACATCATAAACACAATTGCAGGTCCTATCACCTATTCTCCAGACATTCTTCCTATGGTGAGACCACATCAGGGTGTCAGAAATTACTGGGTAGCTATTGGTTTTGGGTGAGTAAATTTATTGCTACAACTTTTGTCCATCATCTTGTTAAAATGGCAGTCTGACCTTTGCAAAAATCTGTGGTTTTGGGGGGTGTTTTTTGTACATACTGTATGTAAAACGTAGTTGCAAATAGCCTTAATCACTGGGACCCAAGCTCTTCCTTCTTTCTTACAGCATCCTCATAATTCTCACTATTTTTCAGTTTGTTTCCTTCTCCCTTTCTTCTGAAGGGTAACGTTAGTAACACATCAGAGAGCAGCAAGAACTGAGTGGCACTTGGTACTGTGTATGCAAGAAGCTCTAAAAGTGCTGGGTTTTACAAAACACTTTCCAGTTCATTTTATGAATGACTTTGAATTGCATTGCTTTCAATAAGTGTTTGGTATAGGCAGAAAATGGTGTCACTGAAGCTGGGGTGAGAATGAGGGGTACAAGGGGAACTAACCCATGATGCTGACTTTTGGGTGAAAAATTGAAGGCACACTAAGCAGGAGGTACTGCTGGTATGCTAGGGTTACAGACACAGAATGGGTCTTACTGGTGTTGCTCATTCTCTCCTGCTCATTTTAGTATTTTCTTTGAATGCCATTTGCATCACATACATCCTGTAGTCAGTGGTATAACTCTTACTGATTTATCTTTAATTCCCTTAGTGATTCAGGATAAACAGAATGAACTAAATCCAATTACAGGCACGTGGTATTGAACATGTTCTGTTTACATTGTTCTTCCAATTGCCTAATTTGTGGTTCAAATTCCAGCTCAGCTTTTTCCTTTTTTTTTTTTTAAAGTCAAACCAAACAAACCCTCAGACTGTAAGATAAAGCAGTATCACTAATGTGCTTTCCTAGGCCCCCAAACTAAAAGACTTTGGGAATTTTGCAACGATTCATTGTGAAAGGTACTCACCTTTGCTATTTGGATTAAAAAAAAGAGAGAGAGAAAGAGAGAATTCTTGTATCTTTTAATAACATTTTCAGAACTTCTAGCTACAAAAGTGGTTTGCCTAATCCTAGTTCTCCAGAAACATGGATTTGGTTTGTTAATTATGCTGCCACTCTTTGTGGCTTTTCTTCTGTCATTGGCCTTGATGGGAGAAAAGTTCTGTATATGAATAACCAAAGACTAGTATTATACATTTACTTTTCTTAAAACAACTTATTTCAGGAATCTGATTAATCTCTAGAAGTTTAGACGCAGGTTACAGTTATGTTGCTGAGAAGACAGTCTGTCATTGGGTTGTCCTGTCTGCTTTTCAGGAACTTTTGACTCCCTGTTCCATGCCTCTGCAACTGCAGTGTTGCGACCAATGTTGTAATTTTTTGTGTGCATTAGCAATCCTTATCTCCCAGGCAGCTAGCAGGGACATTGTGACAGTGCTGTTGGTTCAGAAGATTTTTATCATCTAAATTTAGCAGCAGTTAGGCAGTGTAATGTGCAAAGAAGCTAATAAGTATCATTAGCAGGGTTTGCAGCACTGTTTATTATTAAGGTTGCTCAATGCTTCCCATTTAAGACTGTTCTCAGTTGTCTATAGCTTTGAAAATGTTGAGTTGGCTAGAATTTTCTTCAGGAAATTTTAAGTCAAAGCAATATAACCATTCCACAGAATGAGATTATTGGAAAGTATGCTGCTTTGCCAGCGTTAAGTATTTTGGGTGTATTTTCACTTGAAAAGTTCTGAGATTGTCTGAGAAGGAACCTGACATTTGGCAGAAATATCTTTTCTCCAGCAGATAGGCCTATTTGCCATTCTTTACAAAATCTATCCTTGAAGCTAATATATAAACCTTTAAAAAGCTTTTGGATCATAGATACTTGATAGAGGCTCACTAAATCTTGCACTAAAATTCCTGAATTCTGCCTACAGTGGTATTCTACAGCCAGAGACTGTGGAGGATTTTTCTTGCTGAAATAAGATAGAAAATGGCTGAACTTGGGAGAGAAACACTAGAAAAGAGACCAAGGAGGGTGGGGACTCTGATTGCTTAGGAAAGAGGGATGGAATGAGAAACTTTAGGAGTGGAAAGCAGGTGTGAAATAAGTAAGAATAAGAATAGGGAAGGGACAATATGAAAGATGGAATATGGAAAAAAAAATATGGAGCCAGGTGTAGGGATGTATCCTCACCACAGAGCTGCCTGCCAGGCTCCCTTGCCCTGGGCTTACCCTGCTTGGCTCAGTGGCCTTCAGCTCAAGCTAAAACCCTTCCCTGTTGCCTGGTCTGTCGCCAGCCACAGTCACACAGCCATCTCTGTGCCTCGGGCTTCAGCAAATGGCACTGGAAGACTTGAGCTGGCTAAAATCTCTTCTGGAGCTGTGCCTGGAAGTTAGGTGTTCATGCCCACAAGATTTATGCCCATGAACTGCCTAACTAACACCAGTGACTGCTAGTTCTTGTGCAGGACTTACAGGGTAGCACATCACAAGCACTAGTCTTTAGTGCATCAATTGCGGTGATACAAACTTGCACTGAGAATCTGAAGATTTCTGCTGAACAGGAATGTGTTTGGCAGAATGACCTCATGTGTCGAGCTGTCTTTTTTTGTGTGTTTTACTTTTAGAAAATGAAAAATTACAGATAAAAAAAAACACTATATGGAAGTAATCACCTCAAAGATTATGAAATCAAGCATTCTAAAGTTAGGAAGTGCCAGAACTAAATTGCCTGTGTAATTTGAATTCCTTATGCATATGCATTAGTATTAAATAACTACATTCTACTTATTCCATAAGATCTTTGCCTATTTAATTCAGGGGATAGAATTCAGAATGCAAAACTGATGGCAGCAATTCAGATTTGTTGTAGCTTCACTATTCAGTGTGAGTCTCTGTGATTTAATTACTACATTCTAATCTGAGTTTAATTTCAGGATTGGGTTAGTATTTCATCAAGGATTTTTCTATCATGCTCATTGGAACATTTCACAAATAGCAAATTTATTTTGACATGCCCTTTAAATGGAACATTATTTTGGCACCTTTTTAGGCACAGATATATTTACAGAGATCTTTAATTCACAGAGATACTAAAATCAAATGATTTACATCATTATTAACAACTAATTGCCATCAAACCATTCAGCGCCAGTGTCCAATCTGAAATGCCTGTAGTTTGGCATTGCACAGTACTGTTTGGCCATATCTAGACTGAGTAGTGACATACTCATATTGCAACGCACCAATGAACCTTGTCTCCCAGTTGTGCAGTTCAGGGACCTGGCTGGAGCATATCTAACAAATGGCCTTTCCCCTATGAAAATGCAGACAGCAAGCATTTTGAAAGTTTGAATTAAGATGCTTACTTACAAAATGGCTCAAGTAAAAGAACCTTAAATCTGTCATTTCCTAACTTCGGAATGCTTACCTTTATGTCTGATATTGTTCCTTTAATACAGGTTTCTTACAGGAAATCTATACAGTCTGATCCTTTGTTGTACCTTGCGAAAGAACGGAC